TGGAATTAGATTAATACTTGCACCCGAGTCGGTTAATGCATGAGTAGAAGTTATGTTCCCAAATTGACAAGGTATGGAGATGCTTCCCGGATCACCCCTCTTTTCTGGCAGTTCGTTTAGCAACACTTCAGCAACTTCTTCCATATTTTTTCTAGTAGTGAAGAGGTTTTTAAGCAAAGTTGCATACTTGGGTGTATGAAGTACTGTTTCAACAAATGGAACGTTCACTTGGAGGGTCCTCACTTGCTTCATAAATCTTCCATACCGTTGAATCTGCTCATCTGGTATGGCTCGGGTTGGAAACGGCAAAGGGAGCCTGTAAGATTTCAAAAGAGAATAATTTTTTTCATCAGCTCTTGGACTTGTTGAGTCCATCACACCGACTTGGCGAGTCAAGTCGGTTTTGCTCGAATTCCCTTCAAATTCATCTTCTGTTTGCACCTGAATGGGTCTCTTCTGAATAGAGGTCAAAGGAGTGAAAATTTTGTCTGAATTAGTGGTTATCACATTTAGATGTGCCATTTTTGGATTTTGCTCGGTATTGCTAGGAAGTTCACCAAGTGCTCTTTGATTGATTTGTTGTGCAATCTGTCCTATCTGCTTTTCAATGTTTGAATGGAGGATTGTTGATTCCTAAGCAAATTTTGTTGATCTTTCATCATAGCTTGATGATCTTTAAGCATTACTCGTTGCTCCTTCAATTCATTGTCGGTATCATTGTGCCTCTTTTCAGATGCAGCTACAAACCTTGTGAACCTCTCTTCCAAATCAGCTCTCTTTTCCATAAGCAGTTTCTCCTTTTGATAGAAACCCCGTTCTTTTTGCTTGAATTTTTCCTCCTTTGCCTTTTTGTACTCGTCATACAGGAGCCATTCCGTCTTTGGTTTTTGCCATTTATCATCAAATCTTTCGCCACTTGAATAGAATACTTGAGCCTTCTTGTTTCCATTCTCATCCAAATCACAATCCTTAGTGAGGTGAGGTCCTCTACAATTCTCACATCCTACCTGACTAGCATGGATTTTTTTTATCCATCTTAGTCATCCTCCTATTTAAACTATCTAGTTTAGCCATCATTGCCACCATGCTATCGTTAACAGTGTTCACTACCCCTACTTACTTCATTTCGTGGGTTGTGATATTCTCTAGAATGTTTAGAGAACTCCTCAATTAATTCCTTGATCACCAGGGGTGCCTTCTTTGTGAGGGGTCGTTGTGAGTCAAGGAGTTGCCTAGTTGTAACATTGACTCCATCATAAAAGATGGAGACTTCTTGTTGGCTATTAAGATCATGATGTGGGCAATTCCTTAGTAGAGTTTTGTATCTCTCCCATGCCTCATAAAGGGACTCTCCAGGTTGTTGTTCAAAGTTAGCAATAGCTTTCTTCAACTTGGCTATTTTCGAAGGTGGGCAAAACTGGTCAATGAATTCTTCTTTCATCTTAGACCATCTAGTAATGGATCCAGGAGGGAGTGACTTGAGCCAATCCATTGCAGCACCTTTGAATGTAACAGGAAGCATACAAAGTATTTGGGTTTCGCGAGGCATATTTGGAACATTAAAATAATCAGCTACATCATTGACTTCATCCAAGTGTTTATAGGCATCTTCGTGGTCTTTTCCGTAGAAGGGGATCTCCTTGAGTTGAGCAAGTATGTGACCCTTGAGCTCAAAAGTGGCAGTCGCGGGAACTGCGGGTTGCATAAGTCCCGGGCCGGTATCACCTCGTATCCTCTTCTTCCATTCGCCCATGGGAACTTCATCGATGTTCGCCATGGTGTTCTCAAAGTCACCTTATAGATCGCTACCTTCTCCAAATTCGCTTTCTTCCCTTTCAGACTCGTTCACGATGTCTTTCTTGATTGGGTCTTCATTTTCCAAAGAAGAGGTGTTGGATGCTCCTGATTTGCTGCTCTTTTTCTTGCTAAAAACGGACTTTAGATTCTTCAAAGGCGAGTTCTTTGAAGAAGCGGATTCTCCAACGACTTTTCCTTTCTTCTTTAGAGCAGACTTCGGGTCTTCAAATGGAGGAACCAAAGGCGTATTGGATCCTCAGGTCATGTAACAACTGCAACCAAAGTAACAAAAACTACGATTGACTCGTTGAGTAGCTTCGACTGCACTCGGCGAGTTCAAGGCAGAAACAGGAAAAATTTTCTAATTAAATTTCAAAATAGAAAACTATGAAAACTAATCCTAATAACTCAATTACCTAAAAATAACTTTGTGCAAGATATATCTCACACAAAGGATCGATAAGACTAGAAATTAGTGCTAATTTTTTAATTGTTCCCCGGAAACAAAGCCAAAAAATTGATGTGTGTTTTCTCAACTAGTTTTCCAGAGCTCCAAGGACTTCCTTGATCGCCAAGTGTTCCACCAAAAATCCAGAGAGAGTCCTCAATGGTGGTTTCTGAAGTCTATTTATAATTTTCTCAAAACAGGGACTACTCGTCGAGTAGACAAATTACTCATCGAGTCCCCCTTGAGGAATCTGTATACGGCAAGGACTTCACGTGTCGCTTCGGAAATCTTTGTGTCTACTCATCGAGTAGATGACCCTACTCGTCGAGTATCTTTAGAATTAAGCCTTTTTCTTCTTTCTTTCGTTCCCGAGCTTCCGTTCATATCTCCTGCTTCCGAGCTTCTTTTTTGGACTGAAAATATAATTTGAACAATATTAAGTATCTTTTTGTCCATAATATGCAATTAATTAGCCAATAAATGATAAAAATCCAACATAAAAATATAGCTAAATATGCAAATATCAGTGCCCCTGGTTCAGGTCCAGTGACAACATCGGAGAGCGGTGGAGCTGACTTGGTAGCCGGAGTCAGAGATGCGGGAGCAGCATCCAGAGTTGTTTACGGCATGAGAATTCGAGGGCGAAGCCTGGTTCTAGTGGGGGAGAATTGTAACATCTCGAAATTTAGGTATATTTATCTAACCCTTCTTCCTTTCCAAGTTGTCAAGTTTACCCCTAAAGAAAATCTATTGTGCCATTGAGTATGTTGGGCGTACTGAGGAGTACGCTGCACGTACTCATGCGCTTGCAATGGACGCGGACCCGATTGGGTATGCTAGGTGTACCCAAGGTTACGTCAGGCGTAACCGGCTCAGATGCAAAATGTAACATCCCAAGTTCAGTAGCAAGAATTTGAAGGGTGCTAAGTGAAAATAAAGGAAGGGACTCGGCGAGTAGGTCTTTTGACTTGTCAAGTCGAAATGAGTGCTGGGCACGGGGATAAGTGGCCTGACTCGGCGAGTCGGCGGCTGGACTCGACGAGTCAGTGCTGGACGAGGAAAAACCCTAATCTTCGGGGTTACATCCTAGTTAAAGGACTTAATGTCCTCCTCTCAGCTGCCTTATCCCCCTTTGAGATCCAGAAACACTAGAATCGTGAGTGAGAGCCCTTGGAATCAAATTGGAGCTTAGATAAGTTTCTTGTGAAGAGATCTTGATGATCAAGAAGCTTGGATCAAGGGGATTTGTAGAGATTCAAATTACTCTTCAGAAGGAGGTCGTTTTGGAGGTAATGAATCGTTATCCTTGACCTTCTCCTTTCTAGATCCATCTTTCATGGAGTTTTAGAGTTTGTTTGGAGATGTTATGATAAGATCTTGGTATATAAGTTACATCTGGAGTTGAAACTCCAGATCTAAGCTCTATTTGGACCAAAGATGCAGAAAGCCCTTTTGGTTGTTATGCAAATTGTGACATCCCCAAAATCACGGCCAGAAAAGACCGATTTCATTTATGCTTTTTAAAATAATTTCAGAGTAAATCCTTTTGATTTAAAAGTGTTGCGGAATTTGTTCCCAAAACAAAACATGATAAAATAATATTTATCAAAGCATTTCATCAAGAGATGCATTTTCATTATATAATTAAAACTCGGGGTGTCATGTTCCGATACAGACCATAAAGCATGAACGATAACATTACAAGTCATTCAACAAATATATACATATACAGACTTGTAAACAAAACAACTCGATGATTCATCCATCATACGCCCTTGCGCCACTTCCTGTAATACAAATAAAACTGAGTGGGTCAGGCTTGGGAGCCTGGTGAGCATATAGGATTTTCAACCCACAATATATAAATTATATTTAATTTCACCAACCAATCACTATCCCGATTACCCATTCCCGTTATCCTCACTTTACGTCCCTAAAACAACATCTATCTCAAGGGACCTAATCTAGGATTTTCATCGGGACGGACATTACTACTAAGGGGTTTCCTCAACAATAGATATCCAAAGGCAACCATGAGGGGGATAGAGTACACCGGTGAACACATCGTTCACAACACCTACAGGTTATGAACCTGCACTACTAAAAAAAGGCCTTTTACGACGCTCATTGCGCGTTGTAAAACGCTCAGACGACGCGCAAATGCGCGTCAAGGAAGGCCCTGTCATAAAGAGAGATGGCGCGCTTTTGCGCGTCGTCTATAGACGACGCGCATTTACGACGCGCGGTTATGACACGCATTGCGTATCAAGGAAGGCCCTGTCATAAAGGAAGACGACACGCATTTGCGTGTCGTAACCTTACGACGCGTGTGTTTATGACACGCAATGCGTATCAAGGAAGCACCAGTCAAGAAAGGTCATGTCATAAATGAAGATAACACACATTTTTGCGTATCGTAATTTTAATTTTTTTAAAAAATATATATATTTATATATTTATTAATTTATAAATTAAATTTGCATTTAATCTCTCATAATAGAAATAAAATACCATATACAAAAAATACAATCTATTGCATTTAATTTGTATGTATAACAAAGACATATGTGTTAAATTTGTTACCATTAACATCTAATCGTATGGACTCGAGTGTTAAACTTGTTACCATTAATATCTGATTCATAAGTCCTTTCAACAAGATTGTTACCTGCATAAATGAAAACAAACAGGAACATTAACAGCCCAGCTATGAACAATATTGTTACCTGCATAAGTTACTAAGAGACTTATATACTCAGCTGGTTTGTAATATGGCACTAAGAAGCCCAAGAATTGTTTGTGTTTTTCCTGCTCCTGGTGGATCCTACATAGACAAAAGGTAAGAATTAACATTTTCAAAGTAAATATAAGAAAAGGGCATTATAGTAATTACTTCCATGCAATACTCAATGGACAGCTGGCTTTACTTGTAATAATAATTCATCAATTTTGCCACTCTTCTTCAAGGAGAGCAAAGCGTCCTACTGATCAAACGCATACCTTTTTGCAAAAGGAAGAATTAAAAATAATTATACCATGTAGATATATAAATCAAGAATGAAGGGGAATATGAATATCCTTATAACTTTAATTTTACTCATTAAAGTAAAGAAACAAATAGATCATATAGTGGTTTATCCTTAGAAATTCCTTTGACATCATTCTCTAGAACTTGATCCTATAACAAACACATAATGTCATTGAGAAGTGACAAGATATGATAATAGAACAAATAAATAGATAAAAAGCTGATGCAGATGGGTCATCCATTGTAAAAGCAACAATACCCTGGGCAACATCTTAGTTTAATTTAACACCATGGACTTAAAAATAAAAATAGGAATTAAATGTACCTTATGTGCTGCTCAACTGACTTGGGTGGCAGCATCACTTATGGCATAAACTATATTACTAAGAAGACTAGTAGTTCCTTGGGTCATGCATGTGATGAGTCCTACTGGACTAGTCCACAAAGAAACAGAATGTTAATAGCTGATCTCAGGTAAGTTACCAAATCTTGAACTGAAGTGTTAAATTAGGTGGAAAAATGGAAATGAAAGGTCAACAACAGTATATAAATTAGGTGGAAAATGGAAATGAATTGAAATTTTTTGTTTTTTATTTTTACTTTTGTTGTTGTTGTTGTCGTCGTCATCATTATCATCGATGTCCATAATGCCTAAATCGTCCTCGTTTGTTTTATTGCCATTTGCAGGACTTCCTGGTTGAGCGAGTGCAGAAACTCCAAAGCACATGAAGTGTGAAAAAAAAAGGAACTGTGTGAAGGAAATAAATCGATTTACAAACTTTCATCTAAAATAAACCAAAAAACATAAAGAATTATATTAATAACCTCATCAAGAAGAAGTGGGATAAATATGGTGAGCATTTTGGCATATTATTCAGAGCAGTGTAAGTATCTGCATTGTTTAAATTTTGATTTGAACCAGTTGAACCTTCGAGCAAAACAGTTGGATTTCTTGATGCTTTTGTAAATGCTCTAAGCTCATTAGCAAATTCACGTGCCTAAAAAAAAGAATTTTTAACTTTTTTAATATTTATTTATATTTGTACGTATGAATTATACTAATTAGTTGAACATACCTCATGCCTTAAAAGTAGATTAAGAGAGCTGCAATAAGCTTTCCTCAAAGGACCTAAACAACTTTTGTCAAGACTCTGCATATAATAAATAAACATAATTTTAACACAAGTTCATTTTTTAGATAAAATATAGTTTTAAAGTTTTTTCAAGAGTCTGCATTTTTTTTATGTAAAATACTGCTACCAATTGTAATCGTGTTTTCATTGCTAGAAAAGTCATGGTTGACTTCTGCACTTACAGTTGTGTTGGTCAACGGCTATTGGGTTTGCGGTCAACCGACACTTGTAGTTCAATTATCTTGTTCTCGAGTCCTTAGGGTATTACCTTAATGTCTAGTGGGAACTTTTGAACGATGTCTGTGAGGGTAGCATCAAGCATGTCAAAGGGTCAACCATTAAAGAGATCTTCGAGTCTCTCTTCCCATCTGTCAAGAACAGTAATTCATAACTTCATGAAGTTTACAACAAAAAGAAAAAGTATTTGTCATAAATTAACATGATAAGACTGAGGGCATACTTTAGCTAATAACCTTGAACAAGCAAGCGGCTGAAGGCACCAGAACAAGAAACAAATCCAAATCTTTTAGAACAAGAAACAATGGGCACCAGAACAAGCAAGCGGCTGAAGGCGGCACCACCAGTTGGGGTTTTGGAGCGGAAAGCTTCACAGCGGTTCCTACCTCTGCTAACTCTCACTCTCAGGCAAACACAACACCTAATATACCACCAAATTACAATAATATCCTTCAAACTTCAAGCTATAAAATAGGAAGCAAGATTATAATGTGTTGAACCTGGCACCTAATTAATTAAATGATCACAAAAATAGTAATTACCAAATAATCCTAGTATGTACATGTTTATATAATATATAATATATAATTAATTACCTGAAAGTTAATAACAATGAAGAACAATGTACTTTCCGCTGTAATCTGGTAAAAAACGGAAAATGATTTTTACTGTTTTATAAATGGTAAAAAAATCAGTTGTGTGAAGAAGCAACCTGCAAGTCTCCCAAGCATTTGAATTGTGACACATTGGCCTGAAGATTTTTGCAAATAAGATCTCCAAAATTTCCAATCAATGGATTCTCCTTAGGTTTGTTGCTATTTTTGTATATAGAGTTTTGATTGTTTTTCTTCTTTAGTTCCTTGTAATCTTGGACAAGTAAGATTTGATATTCATGATAAGTATCTGGTCCCAAAGGTGAACCATGGTAAGTTGAGTGACCTGTCTGCAATAGCAAGAGAAAAAATTGAAATTGAAGTCCATTCAAGAATAAGAAATAAAAGCAGAAAGGATGATGATCAGGTGAAGTTATCTAAAGTTGTGAAATATCTAATATTCGGGATCATTGAAGAAAGAAACTAAAGGGTTTGCTTAGTTGGATGGAATTCTCGTGAGGAGGGCATTCACGTCTTTATCAAAGATATATCAAAGCAAGCATCAATAAGTTCAAATAATTACAATGGAAAGGAAAGATATAATGACAAAATATCACCTCTGAGATAGATATGTATATAGTGCACTGGGAAACAGATTGAAGTGTGTAAATTGAATGTAACTGCAATGCCCTGAACAAAGATCTCTGAGAATGTCTTGTTGTTTGGTCCACTCCATATTTGAACTTAAATAAGCAGCAGGTATATTTGCTTGTTATTGTATCCAAACACAAGATTTGATGTTCACTATAACAGATAAATGTGAGTGTTCATAGGTTAAGGAATCATCAGACCATTAGCATGTTTTGGTTCCCAAATCAAAAAAAGAATCAAATTTGTCCTAGAGAAGAAATAAGCCCTAACAGTGATGAATAGGAAAAAGTAACCATTTTAAGCAACAATTATTATACCTGGTAGAGAAGAAATAAGGAGCTTTGCTAACCCCTATCGCAGCCATTAATCTCTGTATCCTCACACAGCCACACAGGGAACATGGAGCAATCTCAGAAGTCTCACGGGTCTCGTCAATCAGGCCCCTCGCCAAGATGAAATCTGATACTGATAAGAAGAAACGAGGACTCATTGATGATAAGAAACGAGACCCTAGTACTGATAAGAAGAAACGCGACCTCACCGATGATAAGAAGCGAAACCCTAAGGTTTTTCGAATGTTTCTTGATTTTCCAGAACAAGATAAGAACAAGTGTGGTGTGGACTTACAAGTAAGGCTGTAGAGGGGTGAATAGGAGGTTGAGATCGATCCCGAGAGATGAAAGAAGTTCAGCTACCCGGGACATGCTAAGACCGAAGAAGAACTCTTTTATGAAGTTTAGCATCACGAGCGAACCCGATAATTACTTGATGGAAAACCGAGAAGATGAAGGAAGATGAACTTCATCATCTTCATAAAGAAAGGTCAGAGATAGTTAGAGACAGAGAGGGAGGGCGGCATACAACAACGAAAAACCTCATCATCATCTTCCACTGCCTGGCGGTGTGTGATTCGCGGCGACGACGTGATTAGGGCAAGAGGGAAACAACCATCGAAATTGACCAGCAAGCACCTCCGTTCATCATCACCGGCAGATCCAGCCTAGTCTCCCTTCTTTCCGTCACTTCTCACAATAGAGAAACAAGAGGGGAGAGTTGATTGTGAAGATGAAGAAAAGAAGCTAGAAAAGAAAGCGGGTTTTCAAAATTTTAGGGTTTCGTTCCCCCCCCCCCCCCCCGTTATCTTCTCAAGGCGCGTTTCACTAAAATTATAAAGCGACACCTACAAAAGACGCACGTTTAAGATAAAGCGCCCTCCGTGTTTTTTATTTTTTTTCTTGAGACACTAATTTAAGGGCGCACAAAAATACGTGTCCACTATCCTTCAAATTTTGGAAGTCTGACATTATTTTTAAGGGCGCCCAAAAATGCGTAACGTGAATCAGCGAATGTCATTGTTTGCGTGTCATTAAAGGCTATTTTTCTTGTAGTGCTGCTAGCGTTCCACGAGACTGTCTAGAAGGAGTCTGTGGTCGTTATCCATACTCCGCTGAATAACTAGGTCAACAACAACAACATCGAGGCCTCTCATCTGTTTATTACACACCAACTATCTACCCATGTTCTACCCAACATATTAGTAGATAAAAATATATATTTTTATACATAGTTTAAAACATGTATAGCATTTTCATCCAATACATATTTCACATAATAGATGAGGCATACCCACATAACACGTATTTCATAGAAACCAATTCAGATCTATGAGATTGAAAAGAGTGAATATACATTCACGCACATAACAACAAAATTATACACATAACACGTATTTCGTATAAAATACTTCATAATTATGCGTTAGAAGAAATTAACTACACACTCACCTGATCAGAAGATGATCGGACAGCACTACGGCTTGTAGAAGTAGAAATCCTCAGCAGATCTGAAAGATCTCTACAAAAATCGAACTTCTCGCGGGGAGAGCTTCGGCTCGGAAACCGCACTTCTCGGGATCTTCGGGATCTCGGGACTTGCTTCGGGACTCGGGAATGATACCGGGGCTTCGGGATGGCTTTGGGGGTAAAAACGCAGAGCTTCGGCACGAAACGGAGGAGAAATGAGCAACTATGCCCGGACCCCTCGCATCCTATTTATAGGAGGCTGGAACCTCCTCGTACGCGGGGCGTACATGGCTCCGAAGTCGTCACTGCATGCATCATCCGAAGTGTCGACATTTCTTGTTGTACGCGGGTCGTACTCGAGTACGCGGGGCGTACTCCGGATGAGTCCGGTGACTCGTCTTCGGATAAGGCCGGATTTAATAATTAAATTTAATTATTAATTATTTAATAAACTTCGAAAATTCATATCTCCTTCATAAGAACTCCGTTTTGGACGTTCTTTATATCCACGTGAAGGTGAGACTACGCTCTACAACTTTCATTTAGACTCCGTCGGCTAATTTTGACTTTATTTTTATTATTTATTTTTAATAGGCCGGGACAGAAAATTTCGTTATAAATTCATAACTTCTTCGTTTGACGTCCGTTCTCGCCTAACTTTTTATCGCTTTGATACTAACAACGAGATCTTCGATTCTTGTTTAGATCACTAAGGCTAAAGATCGCTCTAACGTAAATTTCACTTTTTACGTTATTCAGCGGTGCCGGTTTTGTCGCGAAACTTCGACAGGTCATAACTTCTTCGTTATAACTTGGATTTCGGCATTCTTTATATCCTCGGAAACCTTGTTTCAACTACTACAAAATTATCTAAAGATATCAAGTTTATTTTACACTTAAATTTTGACGCTTGTTTTTATTCTTAATTAATCAAACCACATAATTAAGTAATTAAGCACAAAACACATAATACTCAAATAATACACTTCTATTATTTCAAAACGGGTTACAAAGGTTAACCTAGACTATCACATTGCTAAAAATGGCAAGCCCAGAAACACGAGCGTTACAATTCTCTCCACCTTAGAATGATTCTGTCCCCGGAATCACACATCAACAAACAAATGCGGATAGCGACCCATCATGTCACTCTCCGTCTCCCTGGTGAGATTCGGCCCATTCGTGTGTTTCCATCGGACAAGCACTAACTCGACCATCTTGCGTCGCAACTTCTTAGTCTTTCGGTCAACAATTGCCTCTGGTTCCTCAATCAACCTTTTGTTCTCATCGATTCTCAACTCCGAAAGTGGAATCATGTCGGGAACTTCCCCCGTGAACTTCCGTAAATAACACACATGAAAAGTGTTATGAATTCCATTTAGTTCTTCTGGTAGTTCGAGCTTGTAAGCTTGGTTCCCAATCCTTTGAAGAACTTTAAACGGTCCAATAAACCTTGGACTCAATTTTCCCCTTTTTCCAAATCTTATAAGTCCCTTCCACGGCGAGACTTTAAGCAAAACCGAATCCCCAACTTCAAAAGTCATTGGTCTTCGCTTTTTGTCAGCATAGCTCTTTTGACGATCCAAAGCCGCTAACATTCTTTCCCTAATTATTTTCAACTTTTCAGCAGTCTGATGAACCATCTCCGGTCCCATAAACTGCTTTTCCCCAGCCTCAAGCCAACAAGACGGCGTACGACACTTTTGTCCATACAAAGCTTGGTAAGGTGCCATTTTAATGCTCGAGTGAAAACTATTATTATAGGAAAATTCTACCAACGGTAAATGTTCATCCCAGTTACCTAGGAATTCCAAGGTACATGCTCTCAGCATATCTTCAAGTGTTTGTATCGTTCTTTCACTCTGGCCATCAGTCTGCGGATGGTAAGCTGTACTTAAACACAACTTGGTACCCATTTCCTCTTGTAGACTTTTCCAAAACCTTGAGGTGAAACGACTATCACGATCCGACATAATTGTTAGCGGAACACCGTGAAGTCTCACAATTTCCTTCACATAAGAATTCGCAAGCTTTTCCATAGACCATTTCTCCCTGGCTGCTATGAAATGCGCACTCTTAGTGAATCGATCAACGACCACCCAAATCATGTCGTTACCATTCTTTGTTCTGGGCAGTTTAGTGACAAAATCCATGGAAATGTCTTCCCACTTACCTATAGGCACAGGCAATGGTTCTAAACTCCCGTACGGTTTCTGATGTTGTGTCTTGACTCTTGCACAAGTCACACACTCGGCCACATACTTTGCAACATCAAGCTTCATCGTCGGCCACCAGTAGTAGGGTTTCAGGTCCCTATACATTTTAGTACTACCAGGATGAATCGAGTACATGGTCTTGTGAGCTTCTTCCATCAGAAGATCTTTGATTCCCCCTGACTTAGGTACCCAAATACGATCTTGGAATACCTTCAGTCCATGACCGTTTGTACCAAACACCAACGTTTTGCCCAAACGTTCCTCCTTCCGGTCATTCTTCTCAGAAGCTTCGCTTTGAGCTTTCTTTATACTTTCTAAAATAGTCGAGACAACTTCAATTCTCAATGCTCTTGGCCTTTTCCTTTCAAGATTGACTTTCCGACTGAGAGCATCAGCAACAACATTAGCTTTACCGGGATGGTAACGTATCTCATAGCCGTAGTCCTTGAGTAACTCTAGCCAGCGTCGTTGCCTCATATTTAACTCTTTCTGATTGAAGAGATATTGGAGACTCTTATGATCAGTGAAAAGTTTTCACTTCGTGCCATAGAGGGAATGCCTCCATATCTTCAGAGCGAAAACTACCGCTGCCAACTCCAAATCATGAGTCGGGTAGTTCTTTTCGTGCTCTTTTAGTTATCGAGACGCATATGCTATCACCTTTTCTCTTTGGGTCAAAACACAACCCAATCCAACCCCAGACGCATCGCTATAAACAGCGAAGTCTTCGACTCCATCGGGTAGAGAAAGTATCGGTGCCTCGCATAGCTTCTTCTTTAGCTTCTCGAATGCTTCTTTATGCTTATCACTCCAAGCATAAGTAGCTCCTTTGTGGGTCAAAGCTGTCAATGGAGTTGCAATCGAAGAAAAGCCTTGGATAAACCTTCGGTAATATCCGGCTAATCCTAAAAAGCTTCGGATCTCCGTGGGACTTTTCGGTTGTTCCCACTTCATCACAGCTTCGATCTTCGCTGGATCAACCAATATCCCTTCTTGGTTGACCACGTGACCCAAGAATTGGACTTCACGAATCCAAAAATCACATTTGGAGAACTTAGCATACAGCTTCTCCTTCTACAATACTTCTAACACTTCTCGCAAGTGTCTGCCATGCTCCTCCTAGCTTTTCGAGTAAATCAGAATGTCATCTATGAACACTATCACGAAGTTATCAAGGAACGGATTGCAAACCCTATTCATTAAATCCATGAATGCTGCCAGAGCATTGGTTAGTCTAAACGACATAACCAAGAACTCGTAGTGTCCATATCTAGTTCTGAACGCAGTCTTCTCTATATCATGCTCTCTCACTTTCAGCTCATGATATCCTGACCTAAGATCGATCTTCGAGAAATAGCTCGAACCTTGCAATTGATCAAATAGGTCATCAATCCTTGGCAACGGATATCTATTCTTTATTGTTGCCTTGTTCAGCTCTCGGTAATCAATTCACATCCTCATACTTCCATCTT